TGTCCTATGAGGTGGTTAACCACCTAATGGTCCCTGTGCAAAGGGTCTGCATTCCCTATGGTGAAGAATGACGTGGGAGTTAGCTGATGCCCAGGCCTTGTGCAGACCCACCGTGTGCTTGCTTCTCTGCACTATCACGCAGGAGACCTGGGTGCAGTTTCTCTACTCTCCCCAGGAATGGGAATGCTGTTGAAGTTCATTGAGGGCTGCATGCTGCAAGGGGCTGAGCACCCTCAGGGCCCATTGCCCTTAGTTTGAATTAAGGGTGGCTCAGCACCTCTCAGGAAATGCTCGGCACGTTGCAAGGCAGGGCGCTTCACTCCTCAAAGCCTTTTGAAGTAAAACAATCCAAAGAGCAGTCTGCCTTGTGATGTGGACGGCTGTCCCCCAGGAATGCGGACATGGCTGCAGACCTCACACGGTACAGTGTCTACTGTCTCAGACATGTCTTCCCTAGACTTTGATCTAGAGCCACTGAAACCCCGTCTTGCTTAAATCACCCTAGATAATGCTCTACAGTCATTGCCCCATCTTCCAATTCACCTATGCTGATTCTCCCTGGGCTGGCGGGGGCTTGAAGATTTGTGTGGCAGACTTTGCTGTCAGCTCAAGCAGCACTGAGTGGGGCAGATTATGTCCAGGGTGGATGGGAGCTTTTCAGACAACTGATGGGGCAAATCACAGACAGCACAAAGTACTGCTCATGGTTATTATGCCTTAGGATATTAATCCAGGTTCAATCTGCATTCCCACAACATACAAGATTTCGTTTAGGTGGTGACCACAAAATTGGCCTGGGCATGTGCTAACAGGTGTTTGCATTTGCATACTGTGTATGTGTGTGTGCAAAGCACGTAGTTGTGCATGCAACCAAGTACATACACATGGACAAGGGTAACATCCACCTTGCTAGTGACCAGAGATTATACCTAGGACTTCATGAATGTCTATAGCTTGAACTAAAAGACTAACTCCCGTAGCTGGCAGCTGAAGCAGACCCATCTGTGCAGATCAGACACAGAGTGGGAAGTGTGACACATACTGAACAGTGGATTATACAAGCACTCCTGTTTGCACATGCAATTAACTGCTTGCGTGTACAAGTTCAAATTTTGTGATTATGGTGAAATATTTGGGGCACAAGCCCTGGGCACCGTGCCTGTCACTCTCCTGGTTTGTACATACCTACCTCAGCACCCGAAGGTACAACACACAAGTCATCCCTGTAATACCTAGGCACAGCAGGGCAAGTTAAGGATGCCGTTTCAGCTTTCATTATGAATTCCCTCATTTTCTCAATCAAATAAACTCTTATTCCTAAACTTTCCAATGCAGAGTGGAGGATTTCAGCCAGGGTTGTTGTTTGTAGGTTTGCCACCAATAATGTGCTTGGCGCTATACTATATCGAAATATAAAGATGCTCCATGCCCTGATCGATGTCAGTAGAGTTACACTGGCATAAAGCTGGTATAGCAGAATGGAGAAGCAGACCAGTGCCTCACCTCTCATTCTAGAAGATCAGGAACTGACTTCTGATGAATGCGTAAAACCATTCTGAATCACCCAGCACACACAATAATGAGGATTTATGAAGGCAATACAATCTCACTATCTACATTGTCTCAAAACATGGTAACTTCTCTTCCATTGGCACTGGAGACATGAGCCCTGTCCTTAAAGAGATCACAGTGCAAAACAGAACAAAGGAGGCCCCGCTTTTGGCTTTTGAAGTCAATCTCTTTTCTCCATTTACTTGCCACCAGCAGATTTAACAGCCCACAATCCCAGAAACGCAGGTAAGAACATAAGAATGGCCCTACTGAGTCAGAACAAAGGTCCATCTAGCCCAGTATCCTGTCTTCCGACAGTGGCCAATGGCAGGTGCCCCAGAGGGAATGAACAGAACAGGTTATCATCAAGTGATCCATCCCCTGTTGCTCACTCCCAGCTTCTGGCAAACAGAGGCTAGGGACACCATTCCTACCCATCCTGGCTAATGCCATTGATGGACCTATCCTCCATGAATTTATCTAGTTCTGTTTTGAACCCTGATATGGTCTTGGCCTTCACAACATCCTCTGGCAAGGAGTTCCACAGGTTGACTGTGCGTTGTGTGAAGAAATACTTCCTTTTATTTGTTTTAATTTCATTTGGTGACCCCTAGTTCTTGTGTTATGAGAAGTAGTAAACAACACTTCCTTATCTACTTTCCCTACACCAGTCATGATTTTATAGACCTCAATCATATCTTCCCTTAGCCGTCTCTTTTCCAAGCTGAAAAGTCCCAGTTTTATTAATTGTTCCTCATACAGAAGCCGTTCCATACCCCTAATCATTTTTGTTGCCCTTTTCTGAACTTTTTTCAATTCCAATATATCTTTTTTGAGATAGGGCAACCACATCTGCACACAGTATTCAAGATGTGGGCGTACCATGGATTTATATAGCGGCAACATGATATTTTCTGTCCTATTATCTATCCCTTTCTTAATTATTCCCAGCATTCTGTTCACGTTTTTGACTGCTGCTGCACATTGAGAGGATGTTTTCAGAGAACTATCCACAATGACTCCAAGATCTCTCTCTTGAGTGGTAACAGGTAAATATAAAGCTGCCATGGTTGAGATGAAGGGAAAGAGAGAGGTGTTTTATTCCACCATTTTGGGGGCAAAGGGAAAACATACCAGGAGGTGTGTGAGTCCTCTGATGCCAGGTATACCAGGTCAGTGAACCTTTTCAGTGAAACATACACACGCTCTCTTCCTCTTCTGCTGGGAGTACAAAGTACATCTCACCTAGTTAGGCATCTGACACGTCCGCTGCCAACTGTACCAGTTACTTCAATCACACCAGCACCCCTTCTTCTGACATACGCACACCCTGTTCCACTACTGCTAGATGTATCAGCCACGCTCAACAGATCCACACCTTCTGTGCTGCTGATCTCAAAAGACATGCTGGGCAGGTGTCAGCTCTTCTGCTACTCAATCAGTGGACGTGCTCAGGAATAGCACGTTCTCCTCCTGCTGTCAAACATGTCAGCCATGCTCAGCAGAGACACATCCTCCACCAAGAACTGTACCAAAACATGCCTAGACCGTGCCCATGTTCTCTATGGGCGCATATACAAGACACAGCTCCTTTGTTACTAAATGCAGGCCCACTGAATGCCTCTGCTGGCAAATGTATCAAATAAACAGAGCTAACTAGTCATAAATGTATGGATCTTTATGCATGCATGTTGGTGGGCAGCCATCAAGGATGCCCCTTGGCTACCTAATCAGAGAAATTCAGCCCAGATGTTGTATCCGGTTTTCAATCAAAACCTGCATGCTCACCATATTCCTCAGCAGGGTGACAAAGGCAGGAGGTGGCACTTCCTACCATTCAGACCCTTCTTGACCAGATCAGACCTTATTTCTACTACAGCACCAACATATTAAATATGATGCTTTTCACCGGGGCTGAGTGACCCTTGCCACATGAAAAACACTGGCTGATTTTTAAAGGCTGCATTGTGAATCTAGAATGTCTATTGTAGGCCAAATTCTGCCTGTCAATGGAAAAGGTTGCACATATATGAATGCAGAAATTTGCCTTTTATTCTTCCCATGTCTATGGGCTGCCTTAGTAACATTTCTTCTACTAAGCAACCTTCATTTGCAATGTAAGAAGGTCAAATGGTGCGTTTTGGATGTATATGATCAATAGATTATAATCAAAGAAAGTAGAGATAGGAAGGTTCAAATGGTCAAAGACTCCATCTCTACCTGCCAGTGCAGGATTCTTCCTTACAGGACATTTACCAATGTATTGTCCAATATAGTTTTAAATAGTTGCCCACTGTTTCTTTTGAGAGTTCAGCAGATGATTACATCTCATGGTCAGGACACTTTATGTCTTCCTTCTTCATTTCACCCCATTATCCCCTGGTACCACCCTAATTAATTATTTCCATTCCTCCACTAATGATCAAATATTTGTAGAGTTTCTCCATGTCCCCCCAGAATTATCACTTAGCCAGGCTAGGCAGATTTGTCTCTTTTAATCTTTCCACATCAGGCGACCCCTTCAGCCCTCAATCTTTTTTTCTTGCTCTTCTCTACGTTCTCCAGGTTGTCTGCATCATTCCAGTGCCCGGAACTGAGTGTGATATTCTCAGTGTGATTGTAACACAGGGATAGAGTGGGACTATTATTTCTCTTCTCCATAAGGTCATGTTTTGCCTATGCAGCCTAAATTTGCATTGACTGTTTTTGCTGCCTAATAGCCTAGAAACCCATGTCTAGTTTGCCAAGCACTATCCCCACCATGCTTCATTTGCTATTGCTGATTTCCACTGAATATATTTTCCCAGATGGAAAAAAATAACATTTTTCCGAATGAATCTCATTTTGTTACTTTGCATCCATATTTTTTACTTCTCTAGACCCTATTTCTCTATCCTTATTAATATTTGTAATAACATGAACATGCTGTTTTCTCCCTCTTTCAGATCATTAATGAAAATATTCAATAAGAAGCGACCGTGCATGAGTCCCTTCAGTGCTCTATTTGATACCTCTGTAAAAATCAATGCACTGCCACTTATCCGTACCATTTGTTCATGTTTCTTGAGCCAGTTTTTGATCCATTAGACGGAGCCTGATTCTCCATCCCATTGCTCCTTGTGTAGTCCTTCCCACTTGTCCAAGTGAGTGTTATCATTCTGATGTGATTGCATGTTACACACTTTGCACAGCTGGAATTGAGACTACCCCGGGGCAAAGCAGTGACAAATCTTAACATTTCTGATGAAGCATGTGTGAGAAAGTATATCGCTTCCTTTACTAAAATCCAACCAGCGCAGATCTCCTGAATTCTTTGTTCATAATGGTCTCCCTCCTGCAGGTCTTACTCTGGAAGCTCCCCTGGGTTCCAAAATTAGAATTTGAGCTAAAGAAAGTAGTGGAGTGGGCTATGATCGAACTATGTTGTATAATTAACAATATCACCATACCTGTTCTCCCTTCTCTCCTCTGCCATATGCTCCTCTGCCCTAGAAAGGACGGGGGAAGGGAAATTTAATATAGAATTCTACATTTCAACTTTTATTCAAGGATCTCAAAGCACTTACTAAATATTATTTGTCAAAACACCCATGCAGATTTTATTAGTGATTATGTATACAGGTGCATATGTGCATGGCCCTTTACATGAAGAAAAGCACAAGACAGAGATCCTGCTCTGGGACTGTTTATAATCCAAGGTCATGCTCCTGCAACTGGCCTACAGAGGTGCAAAGATCTGTCCCTGTGGGTCCAACTGCAGGATCAGGAGCAAAGTTCAGACAAAACATAAGGCAAGATGGAGATAAACCCTGGTGGGAGAGGAAGACAGGATGTGCAACAACAAAATCATGCGGTTGCTTAGAAAATTGCCTACATTTCTTCGGGGTTACACTTTTTTATTTAATTAAAGATACACTTATTATATAGATCAATATTATTACACCTATATAACAGGGCAGCACAAAGATCAAGTGACTTCCCCAGTTCAGACAACAAATAGCAGCTTAAAAGAACCTAGATCCTCTGAACCCCAGCATCCCCATTCTCACCAGACCACACCTACCCCTGATTCGACATATGATGTTAGTTAATATTTATGACATTAAGCTTCTAAAACCAGAGACACTCTCAGCTTTCATTAGTCCTGATCACCATTCAAAACCCAGCATTTTTTTCTCTATTAAATAATGAACCAGAGGGTGGCATTTTTTAATCAGGAGCACCTGATTGAAATGAGATCCCAATGTCACCTTCATGTAAACAGCGAAGATCGACTCTTTCCTTTGTGTGTCAATGCACCACAGTGTCCCTCCTGGATGTGCTACGCAGTCAGTGTATCCAATTCGCACATTTGAACTAGAAGCCCAATGACAGGCCAACTAGCCCTCAGGTTGCGTGACAAAGCATTGAAACGCACAGAAAATGGCATCAGCTGACTGACACTAGAAGGGTGAATATCATCCCTGCTCGGAGGACGAACACAAGCTGCATGGAGAATACTGATCCCTGAAGAGCAGAGTGGGCCAGAAAACCCCATTCCAGGGAGCTGGAAGGATCAAGGACCCAGGAAATGGCCTGATAGTGGAGGAGAGGAAGCAGTTCTGGGTAGTTAGGACACTGTTCCTTTAAAGGCCTGGGATCTGAAGTCCTGTAGTGTAGGGTGGGGCAGGGCTCCCTTCTCTTCCAGCCAATCGGGAGGAGCTCCCTGGAGAAGGACAGTATATAGACGGGGTCTTCTCCCTTAGAACAGGGAAAACACTAGCGAGAGAAGGAAGCCAGAGCCAGAAGGCTAAACTCCAGGGAGAGACACCTATGCTATGGCAGGGGAAGAGCTCTTTGTAGACAACAGAAGAGCCAGAGATACGTGGGAACCTTTGGATTGCAGTGATGGACTTTATCGGTGGGACTGTTTGCGGTCATTAAAACAGCCCTAAGTGGAGGGTGGTAGGACATACAAGAAAGGCTGTGGTGGGTCTGTAAAGGTCTGTCTACACTGCAGTTAAACACCCACGGCTGGCCTGTGTCAGCTGAACTCGCGCTCCAAGGCTGTAAAACTGCAGTGTAGATCTTCAGGCTCAGGCTGGAGCCGGAGCTCTGGGACGTTCCCCCTCGTCAGGTTCCAGAGCTCGGGCTCCAACCCAAATATCTACACAGCAATTTCACTGTCCTGCAGCCTAAGCCCTGCAAGCCCGAGTCAGCTGACCCAGGCCAGCCATGGGTGTCTAACTGCAATCTAGACAATAACCTAAAGGGCCATGAAGACAAAGAATAGAGGGAGCCTGCTGAAAATAGAACTCTGGCCATGAGGGACCACTCAGTAAGCAGAAGTCCTTTCACAGTAGCATAAGCCCCATGCAATCAGTAGGAGAACAACCCTTTTCCCATCTCTCATATTCCACTACAAAATCAGTCAGCCTCTGGCAGCTCTGACTTACCGAGTCTCCTTTTTCTCCTTTTAGACCAGGAAGTCCTTGGCTGCCACTTTCTCCCTGGAGGAGAGGAAAGGGATGTGAGCACCACAAGACTGTAAAGCACATTGCTCTTCTGAAAGGCACACGGCCATTGCTGACTGTGCCACCCAACTGATTCAACTCAAGAGTTGCCCCATGTTACCATTCGTATATTCAATATTTCAAATATGTCTGTGTTATTTAAGTGTATCAAAGATTTGTCTCCCAATACTGAAGCCCACATTCCCCAAAGCCCCAGCTTAACAGCTAGCAACAGGGCAGGTGCTACTGCAATCAGAAAGCCCACCCATGCATCACTTTGTTTCCAGTACATGGGAAGCTTGGGTGTTGGTGTATGATTTATACGCAGTCATGGATTTTAAAATACACATGGAATCCTCGAAGGGGCAGTGTCAAGGCAAAGAGACGTCTCCTTTGAGCACCCTCAGAAGGCCTTACCTTTACAGTTCCTTTTCAATACAGTGAGGATTCCCAGCCTTTGAAATGTGGGCTGCATTAGATCCCGAGCATGAGGTTTGCTTGGGGCGGCAAAAATGCTGGAGCCGGCCCTGCCAAGGGTGTTGTGTTCTGTCCCATTTAGTGGCACCAAGCCACTTAGAGAGAGAGTTAAATGAGTCTGCTTTACAGCCTTAGCTAAGAGCCAGTTGGCTTTTAGCTCATGCAGTAGAGGCACATGCTTTAAGCTCCAGAGGCCCCAAGTTCAATCCTGCCCGTCAATGACCGGGGTCGGTCAGCGTTACACATGTACAGGCTGGTGGAGAGGGGATCCTCTCCTCTGGGCTGCGTAAGGACTGACAATCTAGCATAGATATTAACTGGACCACAAATGCCATAAAGGCTTCACATCCATTTACTAATTAATCTTCACAGCATCCCTCTGAGGCAGGCACAAAAAATTAGCTCTATTTAGTGGATAGGTAACATGAGGGTAAGGGAGGTTAAATGACCTCCCCTCTCCCACACAGTGATTCATCAGCAGAGCTTGGATTAAAATTCAAGAGTCCCCAACTCCTGGGTCTGTGCACAGCTCATTAGATCACTGTTACACAAACCTTATAGGTCCTTGGATGCACCTGGGTTATGGAACATCAAAGCCAGGTGATTACTAGCCATAGATCAGTGAATAAGGCTTGCTATTCAATCCTCCATCTACAGAACTGTGTTCACACCATTTTACTGAGAGTGAAGTGGGCTAGACACTAGTGTTTCTGGAGTCTGTTACAGGGCTGTGCCGGTGGGTGAGACAACACACATTTTCTTTCTTTGTTTTATCATTGCCATCCTTTTGTGTTTTTCTTGCAGTCATTTCTCATGGTTCTGTCATTCTGAAGAATAGCCCATCATCACTTAAACTGTCACAGATTAAAATAGGAATGGGGCTATTTATAGTCCCATGGAAACAACGGGCCAAATTCTCTGCCATTTTAAACAGCTGCAGCTTAAAGTCAACAGACTTGTCTCCATTTGCCCCAGCAGAAAATATACACCCAAAGCCTTTCTTTCCGCATCCCAGAAACATTTAACTATTGAGAGTACAGTGAGCCACTCCAAAAAAACAGGCTTTGGGATTTTTAACCTCACAAGTCATACAGCATAAGTGAGCTTCCTCTCACACTTCATGAGAGGTAAGCATCATCCAGCTAAGTAGGATTTAGAATCATCAGGGGAAAGAATGATTGGTTTACTCTGTGCATTCTAAGAAGAAACCTATCTAGAAATATAGCCCATATTTAACTTCACCCCATGACTCAAATGCTCTTGCTGGGATACTGGATTACAGGGCTCCATCCTCCTACCCCAGTCTCAGTAAAGTTCTGGTGGATGACTAACAGTAATGATGTGGCCTTTTAGCTTGGGGACAGTGCAGAATTACTGGAGAATCGCCATCAAAGTTGTGATGTAGGCCAATGTAGAAACAGCCAATGTAGAAACAAAAATGTAGCCAATGTAGAAACAAAAATGTGGCATGGTAGTGCTTCTAGAAGATACATAAAGCCACTTCAGTGAAACTTGGGAGTGAGCATAGTCAAGACACGCACACTAACTACTGTGTTCCCCATAGTCCACCTTGGACACATCCAACCCTCTCTTGTCTGCGGTTAGTTTATTGGACTTTGTCCTTAAACTTTTCCCGTCATACAGAATAACCCAGCACCTCATACGGTATTTTTAAATAGACAAAATGGAAAACATACTACCGACCTTTTGACCTCTAGGACCTTCAGGGCCAGCTGGGCCCCTCTCACCCTAAAGAGAGAAGAAGGAGACTATTTGGAGACTGCTCTTCTCATTACATGCCAGCACACTAGGGGCCCACCAGAGACAATAGAAAGAGCCCCACAATGGAAGAGTCCATTTCAGTGGGCAATGGATGGGAAGCTACACCACCTCAAGGTTTGAGCAACGACACACAAAAAGAAAAAAGTCAGTGATGAAAATATTGCAGCAGTGCTAACACCTTAAAGGCCCCATTCACTGCTGACTTAAACGGGCTCAACTCCACTAAAGGCAAGGGGATTGTTTCGGCATGGCTCCCATTTACCCTACCAGCCTATTCCTGTTGTGTCTTACAAAACCTGTACCTAAAAGGGGTGGTAAAAATTGCTGCTTCATTTTCTAGGTTGATCTCCAGAAGCCACAATCAGGATCAAGATCCAGTGAACTGGGTGCTGACAAAACCCCTAAGACACAGTCCTTTTCCCCAACAAGCTTACAGTCTAGGAGTCTGTGATCCTGACTGGCACTGCAGGTCAAGCACTATGCAAGTCCTCTACTAGATCCTACTCCCAAAACCAAAGGGGCTGGCCAGGGAGAAGAAACAAAGGCTCCCAAAGGAGAACAGAGAGTCACTCACCTTTTCTCCAGCAGGACAGGAACAGTTGAGGGTGTTTGGCGGGCCCACTTGTTCACTGCCGACAGTGGGTCTTATTTCAGCAGGTGGCGCTTCAGTAACGACCGTCACCTGGCACTAAAGCCAAACAGCTCGTGTCATTATCAGGTCTTCCCTTTTAGAAACCTCATTTGCCTTTGATCCACTTTATGGAAGCCAAGTTGGTATTTACTGAAACATGTTGCTAACTATGTCCGGATAGCTCAGTGGTTTGAACGTTGGCCTGCTAAACCTAGGGTTGTGAGTTTAATCCTTGAGGGGGCCATTTAAGGATCTGGGGCAAAAATCTCGGGGGATTGGTCCTGCTTTGAGCAGGGGGTTGGACTAGATGACCTCCTGAGGTCACTTCCAACCCTGATATTCTGTGATTCTATGTTGAATTCCAGAGACTTGGGGAGCAGAAGAATCAAGTGTTTGGTTGGATTTGGGGTTTTTAAAACTGCTGGTGAAAGGTACCAGTCTGGACCCCGCAAACCTGCTTATCCCGACAATAGCTACAGCAGTGACTGAGGCACTGCACACTTCTTCCACATTGTGCTGGTGTTTTTTGCAATGCAGACCTCTTCCCGTTGGCAAGTGGACTGAGACACTAACTAGCAATGTTGCTGTCTTAGCTCGTCCCATACAGCAGCAATAGGAAACACACTGACTACTTTTACATGGAGTTTTTATTCTTCAATCAGCAGTTGAACCCTTCAGATTTTTCTCTTTCCCATGATAGTTTGACAGGGGAAAGAGACATGGAAAGGTTTAATTCTTTATACTGTAAGCAGAGTCAGGATGAGCTCTACCCTGACATCTGGTGGTGAATTATGGCGAGTGTGGAAAAGAACTCCAGGGGCGGATCTTGTTTGCATAGGCACACCCACACGCCTAGCATGAGCCCACAGCAACCGAAAGTGGTTACTTTGGCTGGTGTGGGATCCCCAGTTTCTCTGTTATTGGGGCAGGAAGAATAAAGTTTTGTTACCCTGATTCTGTGAATCAAGGCCAGTGGAACTGTTGTATGACAGAAGGACTGAGTGAATCCGTCACCATTACCTAAGTAGCATTTGCTTGTCAAGGGGCATGGGTTACAAAACCCAGTGAATTGAGAGAGGTTTGGGGTAGGTATTGGTACCTGGTGGTGTGGGGCCCCTGCGTGAGCCTGAAACACCAATTGCACCTTCTCCTCCCTCCACTGTTAGAACTAGAAATGCAGGGGCCTATACCAATAGCTGAGGGGCCCTCAAAGGAAACCTCTCCATCCATCGTTCAAGAGGCTGTCCCCCCTACCACGGCAACAGAGATTCTCAATAGATGAGACAGGGTAATAAGGCCAGTAAAACGGTTGACTTATGATGCACCTGGGGTGACTAGTGAGGAACCAATATGTTTAGCACACAGGCTTGTGGAAGCTAAAGTGGGCTATCTGAGGCCCTTTGGAGGGAACCAGTGAGTTGGTATAA